TAATACCAACTTTTAAGTGAAAACCAACTAGAAGGTTAGATCAGGTTGAGGACTAAATTATTTTCCGAAAAGGTTTATGCTAACACGTCGTTCGTAAAGCTGGAAACGTGACCCCCAACATCAGTTGCTATTAAGTTCCACAGCATTCGAATGTATCACCAAGTCCAAGAATGGAAAGGAAACAAACAGGATCCATTATAATGGGGTTGGGGATTGATAAACGGAAAATTTAGCGTTTGACGAACAGGAGCTAACCTTTAACAAGCCACCACTTGCTTCGTATTGGTCATACAGCAATTATTAAAAAAACATTTTCATTGTTTTTTTTTTAAAAGCCACGATTTTGTTTTATAAAATGCATACTTTTCGAGTTTTCCGCGAATAACCAAATAAAAACATTGATCTTCTATGAAAAACTTATACTTTCGGTCGCGAATAACTGGAGAAGTATTGACTTTGCAAAAAAACCTAAATGTTTTTGCTTAGGATTCATTTTTTTATCTATTCCTGTGTTAAAATTACAATAAAAAATTACCAGGCCCGAGATAGGGTGAAAGCGCCCTTTGACATGATATAGATTTTGATCTTTAGGCTACTCCCTATCTACTGTCAAATTTCAAGTTAATCGACTCATTTTGAAAAAATTGCCAGGGTTAAAGGCTTCAACATCCTGGTCTACTTGTACGTCTTTACATCAGAGCCAGACTCCGGGATAAGCTTGTAGCGCCCTGGGCTACATTTAGTTCTGCGCCCCCATAACTAATGTTTATAATAGTTAAATTGCGTACTTAGTGACCGAGCTTCATATATAGGGTTATTTATCTGTATTAATTTTGAAACAACCAAGAATCACATGTCACAAGATATATTTGACATTTCGTATACTTATTAGTCGTCTAATAAAGGAATTGCTACCAATCCATTTGAATGCCCAAACACTTAAACCAAAATAAATACATTTTCATATGACATTAATTCCATTAGCAGGCATAATGTTTCAACATAAATTAATGAATGGTCACATAATATAAATATTAGACAATTTAATGAATAAATTAAGTTAATGGATCTAAAGTTTAGTCGTCCAGAGCGAAATTAAGAAAATCCCTTAAAGTAGCATGAAATTATAAATTTAATAAGTCTTCTAATTTCCTCGCATTACGAACATGTGGAGAGTAGATTAGCATACTCTGTTGACACACATTTTATGGCATACAGAAGTAAATGAAAGAAGGTTGTAATGTAAACTCCATTAACAAAGCAGTAAATAAACCATCATACAATGTGCATGTTACATTTTATAAGTCTATGGTAATGCTTAAAACATATTGCAGTGTACGGTTTTTCGATGTTAAACAGTTAACGATTTTACTGAAACTATAAAACATATTTTTTCTCCAAACAAATTTTGAAACTGATGTTAGATTTTCCTTTATTCCAAGCGCCTATGTATTAGTTTATTTTTTGAATTGCACGATAATTACTAACCTAAATGTAATGCTATTTGGTATGGTTGGAAACATTTTTTCAGAGCTTTCCAACGGTCACTATTTAAGATTTAAAAGTTGGGGTGGTTGGGGAGCAGAGGGTTGGAGGGGGTGATTCGCCAACTATGTCATTGTGATTCCCCCTCCTAATTACCGAAACGGATTTTGATTTTTTAAAATATCTCGTTTATTTACTAAGACATGGGGGGTGGTAA